ATAGAATATAGAATATAGAATATAGAATATAGAATATAGAATATAGAATATCGAACACAGAATGGAATTGAGGCTACATTTCTTTTTACTGTGTAGACGACTTAACCTACATACGCTAGTAAAGGACGCACACACACATTCACACACAGGCATCCATTCACTTTCGTATATGAGGCATGCATTATATAAGCACTAACAAATGCTCTACAACAAGAACAAGAACTGTATCAGCTGCTGCAAATGTGTGGCACATACACACATAAATACGCAACCCACACACCTGCACACACGAAAATTGGCACTAACAACACGTTGGAAAAGCAACAACACAACAACAGAACCAACAACAACACTTGGAGAATTGTGCTCATGTTTGACTTTGATGCAGTGTTTTAAATGTGTTTTCCATTCTCTTTCAATTTAGCGCTCGACCTAAAAGTATGCTGCATCATTAGTGTCAAGCTTTTGGCCAGACTTTCAGCCAGAGCGAAACAGCGAGAGAGGGTCCCAAACTGGGCTGGCGGCTCATTAGGACAACAGCAAAAGCGCATTACGAGGGGCAAACGACAAGTTCCTAAGTCAACTTAGACAGTCAGACAAAGCATTCATAATTACGCCCAGCAACAGCAACAGCAACAACAGCAACAGCAGCATCAAGGCGAAAACAGTTGCTGTGCCTCGTATAAAGTCAAGGCCACGCCCCACGCCGTCAGGCCCGCGTCATAGTAAAGCATGAACATAGCTTGGACAGCAAACATAAGTAATTCGTGCCACTCAAAGCTCTGCAGGATGCCGGCGACCTGATGCGCTCCAGAAAACCAGCCAAAGCAGCACCAGCACCAGCAGCAGCAGCAGAAGCAGAAGCAGAAGCAGAAGAAGAAGAAGTCCTTTCAAGGAAAAGAGGAGACAAATTAAGAGCACTTGCAAATTGTTGTCGGGAAATTGATATATTCGATTAGCAATCTACAAAGTTGAGCGAGGACGGAGACGACAAAGCCCCGGCAAGCAGCAGGAGATACTGGAGGCATTTTCAATTTATCAGTGCACGGGACACGCCCACGGGCACACCCATACGCCCAGACGCTCATCGACAGCTGCGCTGGCATTGTGTGAAAACAAGTAGAAGAAAATTTACATCCTGTGCTCCACGCATTAGCCGCTTTAAGCCGAGTCATGCCTGAGCAGGATAATTACGATGATGAGGTAATTTTCATTGTTCAACCAGCTACACACCCACTACCCAAGCACACACGCGCGCACACACACACACACACACGCTGACAAATAAATATGTTTTATGCATAAATATCATTAGGCATAATTAATTTTAAAACAAATATTTAAACACGTGTGCGTACGGCCCTCCCCACAGTGTTTTTGGGCTTTTGTACTGTTATTTTGGACATACACTTTGAGAAATAACTGAGTATTTATTATACAAATATTTCAAAAAGCCAAATTCGCTGATATGCACAAAATATGTGAATGGAGAACAAATGGAATTCAGTATAGCAAATGCTTAGGCATGGCATTGCAGACCGCACTTTTCTCTCAGTGTACGCAGTATCTCCTTGGCGTGAATTGCGCCTGCAATGACCTTCAAGCAAATAGCGCGTGTGCAAATGTGATTTAGAATATGTCTTTGCTCTTTGCAACAAAAATTATTTTAGAAGAAAAAAGAAGGACAAGACAGAGAGAGAGAGAGACAGAGAGAGAGAGAGAGAGAGATACGAATATAAATTATGTTTACCTTAAGATTTCCGAGCTATTCCCTAGATTTGATGACAGTTGAACTTAAAGAAAAATAAATAAATTAAATAAATTAAAAAAAATAAAAATAAAATGAAAGTACGAAATATTTTAAATTGTAATCAATAATAAAAAAATTTATATATTTATTACAAACAAAAAGGTTAATTAATTGGAATCCCGGAATCAGAGCGTATTAGTCTTTTCTTTTGTGGATAAACGTTTAGCATTGTATAATTTAATTTCAATGGGCTCCACGAAAAAAGTTATTAAATTAAAAGTTTGTTGGCTTTGAGCTCTGGCCGTGCATTAAATTCTCTAAATTGAAAAGCTGTTCATAAACTGAGCCAGTTCGCAAAATAGGTGCGCGAAAAATCTCTTTGGTCTGCTAGAGCAGCACTTCAATATTCAGATTTTAACTTGACTAAGTGCAGCACTTTACAAAAAAAAGGAAAGTGGAAGAAAAAGTTGATTCAACAACTGGCAGCGAACAGCAAGTTGAGCATCATCTGGCCTTTTAATGCAGATGCTGATGGCTAGGTCAACTTCAGCAGGCACTCTCACGCACCGCTGCACACTTGGCGGCGTTCCGGAGGAGGGCGAACTGGGTGCAGGGGCTCGGGTAGAGCGGCGAGCCACTGTGCAGCCGGCAGCTACGATAATTGAAATAAATTCCGCATGTAATTCAAATGCAAAGCGCTGACAGGACGCTGACAACAAAAGCACAATTGAATCATCAAAGCGTTGCGTGTGTGCCATTTGCATACAAACACAAAGAAACAGGCAGGGGGGAACTGAACAGGGTGCTGAGCCAATGCGCAAGGAAAGCCCGCCCAAACTACAATCAAGCACATACACACATTTCTTGCAGCAATTAGATTCGAGTAAAGTTCAAGTTACGAGTTAGGTCAATCATTGAACCAAAACCAATTTACTGAAAAACATTTATTTTCGAGTCCTGAACCTTTTTAGTCATTCACTAGCTCAGTCATGAACGATCAGTTTGAATAAGAACATATGGTTCATGAACAGCAGATGAGCTAATGGGAATGAACCATTCATGAACGACTGAACAAGCAAATCGTTCATAACCAATTGAACAATATAGTGCAGACTATTTTTTATGATTGACTGAATTCTATATATGTATATGTATATATATATATATATATATATATATATA